CGAAGACTACAGGGTGATAGTTAAGCTGCTTCAAGCCGCAAAAATTGAACATCACTCATTTATCTTGCCACAAGATAAAGATATTAAAGTAGTCATTAGGGGACTACTTCATGATACAGAAATCAAAGAAATTAATGAGGAATTAAAATTTAAAAATTTCGTCGCTAGTTCTATCAAACAAATGACTAGCAGGAGAAATGGTGAGATTATTAAATTGCCTCTTTTCCTTGTTTCACTACCCAGAAAGGATAAATCGAAGGAAATACATAACATTACTAACCTATGCGGGCTTAGAGTAAGAATTGAAGATTATAAGGGTAGAGCTGGGCCCCTACAATGTTACCGTTGTCAGGGGTTCCACCACACTCAAGCAGGATGTTACTTTACGCCCAAATGTGTTCGGTGCGCTGAAGAACATTTATCTTATCTTTGCCCAAATAAAAATAAAGAAAAACCACCAAAATGTGCCAATTGCCTTCAAGAACATACATCGAATTTTAGAGGATGTGACAAATTCCCTAAGAAAAAACAAGAGAAAGTAAAAGCCTACACAAGCAGAGTAGTAGAAAGCAAAAGCTACGCACAAGCTCTCTCTACTGGAATATATTCTGACACGATTAGTGAAGCGAAAAAGGGGTGTTCGCCGACTTGGCTGAACTTGTTAATGTAATTAAAAGCTCAGGCTTTTTGCTTTCACAGCAAATTCAACAGACCAAAGCGGTAATTCAAGAAACTCATCAATCCGGAGACCATAATGGCCAATCACAACATTAATAAGGCCCCCATTCGAGCAGTTTTTTGGAATGCTCACAGCATTCTTAATAAAATCACGGAACTACACAATTTCCTCACTACTCATGAGATTGACATCGCTTTAATTTCTGAGACTTACGCCACTCCGTGTAAGAACATAAATATTAATAATTATCGCACATATAGATGTGATCGCTTGAATCAAAGAGGTGGAGGAGGAGTCGCAATCTATGTACGTAACTCCCTGCAATCTTGTTTTATTTCCGATAAAAGAAACTCCACAAATGAAATGGTCACAGTTTCAATATTACTACCTTACATAGGGACTGTTTATTTTAGTGCTTTTTACAACCCACCCGATATGTTGAGCTTAATGAAGATATTCTGAAAAGTATTTGCCCTGACAATCATCAGTTTATCGTTGCTGGGGACTTTAATTCAAAAAATAAAGAATGGGGATGTAGACAGACAAATAAAAATGGAAAAATTCTACATGATTTTATTACGAATCACCCCATTGCATTAGAGGCGCCAGCTGAATATACTTACCGGCCAAATGATCCTCGCAGAGCAGAGATTTTAGATCTCCTTCTTACTAATACTTCCTTTCCCATGACTATTGAAGTTCTCCACGAACTCACGTCTGATCATCTGCCAGTGGTTGCCACCCTAGGAGTCGCCAGGGATAAAAATGCAAATAAAATTAAACTCACTGACTGGAATCTCTATAAAGATATTCTTCAGATTAATCCCCCGAATATCGGTCCACTCAAAACCAGGAAAGATGTTGACGTTGCAATTGAAAACTTGACTAATGGCGTCAAATCTGCCATTAATAATGCCTCAAAAGAAATTAGCAGAGAGCAATTCGCCAATTTTCTCCCCCGCAATATTAGAGATCTTATTTCCGCACGGAATAAATTACGCAAAAGATGGCATTTGACCTGGAGTCCATATGTTAAAAGAGACTGGAATAAATTAAACAGAGATATTAAAAAGAAAATTGCTGAATACCGTAACGAAGTTTGGGAAGAGAAACTTCTCAATCTCAACCCTGCTGACGGCTCTATTTGGAAATTTGCTAAAAACTTAAAACGCAAGCCTTGCAGCAATAGACCTATTTATTCGGACAATCACGTTGCCACCACCAATAGTGAAAAAGCACAGATCTTTGCTAATCATTTTGAACAACAATTTATGCCGAACAGAGAACCCAGAAACATCAATTTTACTTATGAAGTTTCCTATTTCATTAGAGACTGGCTAAATGCACCGACCGCTAGAAATCTTACCAAGTTCACTTCGCCTATTGAGGTTAAAGAAGTTATCAAAAGACTTAAAGCTAAGAAAGCACCTGGTTATGATACAATTAGCAACAACGCTATCAAAAATCTACCTGATAACTGTGTCACTAAATATACAAGCATCCTTAACGCATGTTTGAACATGAGCTATTTTCCCACTGCATGGAAGCATGCAAAAATGATTTTAATTCCAAAGCCCGGAAAAGACATCACAAAACCGGATGGTTACCGGCCCATTAGCCTGCTCGCCGGTTTTGCGAAAATTTTTGAACGAATTATACTTACCAGACTAAGACCATACTTATCTGTACTTCCACCTGAGCAGTTCGGTTTTCGCAGCCAACTTTCCACCACCAAGCAACTGATTAGATTGGTTGAGTTTTGCGGTGACGCACTGCACAAAAATCAAAATGTGGCTCTCCTCATGCTGGACGTGGCGAAAGCTTTCGACCGCGTCTGGCATGAAGGACTTATCTACAAATTAATTCATCACAATCTTGACAGAGAGATCATCTTGCTTATCGTCTCTTTCATTTCTAACAGGACTTTTTCAGTTTCCATAGGAGATGACTCTTCTTGTGTCAAACCAATAAATGCTGGAGTCCCCCAAGGATCAATTTTGGGACCCATTTTATATCTCCTTTACGTTGCAGACTTCCCTAATGTTGACAATGATCCTAACTATTTTCTTGGTTGCTACGCGGATGACACGGCTTTAGCCGTTAAGTCCGCTAGCGCCAAACATGCTATTTTCAAGCTACAACAACTACGCATGCCTGACATTGAAGAATGGTGCCAAAGATGGCGTATCTCTATTAATGCACAGAAATCAAACCTATTAATGATTAGGAAGAAACGCAGACTTATACAATTAAATGAAAATATTACACTGTTTGGGGAAACAGTCCCGCATGTTGAAGAAGCCACTTACTTAGGAGTCGTATTTAACAGACAACTCACCTGGAAAAATCATATCAAAAACTTGAAGAGAAAAGCTTACAGCATTATTAACTGCCTCAGGCCTTTACTTGGCAAATACTCCAGCCTGGATCTTCGCAGGAAAAGACTTCTATATATTACCATGATCAGGCCTATTTTAACTTATGCGTCGCCTGCATGGGCCACTGTAAAAGATAATGAAATTAACCAGTTACAGATTATACAGAATAAAATGCTTAGACAAATGACTAATGTACATATGTACGTTAGTAACGTCACATTGCATCATGACTTTCAACTCCATTCAATTAAAGAACATCTGCACAAGCTGAATACACAATTTTTTAATAAAGCACTAAACTGTGACCATCTTGCTATATTTGATACTTTTAAGTATATTATCCTCTCTGACGACGAAAAACTGAGACCTCTCGCGGCTCACCTCACTCACGACTCTAATTTTCCAACATAATCAAGAATTGTAAATATTGTAAAGCATCTTGTAATTTATATTATTTTTTACTTTATGATTGTATCTTTATTTTAAAAGTTTTTGTATTTATTTATGTATTTTGTATTTATGTTTCTCGTTATTGCACATGATGACTTACACACTACCCGTCTGTCCATGATCGTCTCCTTGCTTGGTCTGCGATGTTGGCCCCCTTTTTACCAACTACCTCTCTAAACTGATGATTGTACTACTGCAATGTGCCTTCATGGCAATTTATGGAGCCGGACAAGCGGCCATGTGCTGCATTCTGGCAATATACAAACAGTCAGTCAGTCCATACTTTTTGCCCTTAAGCAGTTATGAGAGACGATGGGCGGGAGCTAGGCATTTTGCAGCTTGGTGCAGTCTCTGCGGGCCCTAAAGTTTGCTGCCCGATACCACAATAAACTGTAAAATTTCGTCACCCCTAAATTCTATTGCCTACTGCCTCTCCTAAATCCTAAAAATCCAACTGTCTGTAATTTTTGCTGATTGCTACTTCCAAATTCTAAAATTTTTATCGTCACTAAATTTTGACACCCGGTTGCAACGGCACCAGTTGCATTTGCTGTGGATCTGGGACAACGTTGGTTAACATTTTGTTGCCTAACCTAAATAAAAATTCCTAATGTTGCCATGTCTTTGTGTCATTTAGTAGCTTTAAAACCATGATCTAAAATCCGGAATCGCTAAGTCCCAACGATTCCGGATCTCGGACTTTGTAGATGTTCTCTTTCCTTCAACGTTCTTTGCCTCATTGCCTCATACAAGTTTGACTACAGCTATAAGATAGCCGGAAGATCTGATAAATGAATGGAAGAACTTATGGATAGTCATGAGTCACAATGCATAACTATTACATCTACAAACATAAATTTAGATACCTATCATTTACAGTATCAAAACTGATGTTCATTAACGTAAAATACAAAATTAATATTTGCTACAAAAATTAATTAAAAATCCCAAATTTAGAGAAATCCTAAACTTTGAAAATTTTTAATGTAAACTTAAATATATACGACCTCTGAAATTGTTGATTTCGTATTTCTTTCTTCATGTGATATTTGAGTTTTCCCAAGGTCAACCAAGGTCAGTTACATAATCGTTTACATTCTTTTTTCACGTTATGGAAATTTTCATATTTTTTAAACCATAGCGCTGTGACAAATCGTTGTACAGATGTTTAGTCCTTTAGTAGCATCCTGCTAAAATTACCCAGTTTTCCGGTTAAAATTGCTTATTTGTGCAACACGGTAATAGCAAAAATTTAAAGGAATAATGCGTAATGTGATCTAATGAAGATCTAGAGATCTATCAAAATACTTTGAATACATGTGTAACGAAATGAATTCCTGCATCTGCGCTAATAAAGCTTGTATGCATATATTTTTTAAAAGCAATCTTTGATGCTCACAACTGTATGCGTGTATCAAATATCCAGATTTAGCATGCAAACAAATTGTTCCTGAGGTAAAAATATTATGCGTTACAAATTTTGAACGACATGGTTAAAAATTCATACCTGATGTTGCCGACCAGTTCTCTTGATAACAATTTGCATGCTCATTCTCGGTGCTTACTTTCGTGATATTCATTGCAAGAAGATATGAAGTACTGTTGCTGACGTAAGTTGGACGTGATGTGGAAATATCCATTACTGAAATATTTTCTGCTTCTTCTTTCGTAATCTGTTTCATAACTGCACTTTCTTTTAATGATTGGATTGTGCGTGAATTTGAATGCTGATTTCTGATGCATGAATTGCCAATTGTATTACCTTTTTCATAATCTGGAATTGAGGAAAAATGTATGTTTTCCCCTATGGTCTGAGAAGTCCACTGTTGTTTAAACTGAAACGAAAAGAAATTTATTAAATGATATCTAAGCAATATCGTATGTAAGTCAGAAGCTCAGATTTTTCTAATTAAATATTTATAAAAAGAAAAGTACTTTTCTTGTGATTAAAGTAAACATTTCGAGTTACGCCCTAAAAATTGAAAAGTAGTATAATTTTCTACGTTTATGGGTTTATTTAGAGCTTAAATTTTCGCTTTCAGAATTTTAAAATACATAGTGCATAAGGTTAGTTAGCTCTAAGCACTGGTCCTCAGTCCACCTAGCAGGCGAAGCCTGTCATATGGCTGGCTATGAGGGGACAGGCCAATCAAACAACAAATGAACGTTAACAAGCATAACAAAATAAACGGTTAAATAACGGATACATAAAATTAACATAATAAACTCGAAAGAAAAAACGGGCTATAAAAGAAATAAAACCACAACACGTAAAACAGATACATACATCCCAAGCACTCTCTGTGAAATTCGTATATAGAGGTATCGTTTCCATTTCTGTGTTCTTTCCTAAGTGTAAAACCTTTATAAGTTTTACTTTCAATTATTATTATTCAAATATTCTCTATATTATCAAAATTCATCCTAAATTTATAAGTTCACTTCATATCTGTTTTCCTTCTTATTCTTATTCACAATTTGCATAATAGCTCTTTCAAATTTTCGAAACAATTTATAGTTACTAAATACATCTTCAAACTTTTTAAATTTATATCTTCCTTTTACACTTCCAGTCTGGCAACAATCCTCGACGAAGTGCTTTGAATCGCCGAATTTATTACAAACTTTACTTATGTCATTTCACTGGAGGTGGAACCTTTTTAAGTAAGCAGGGTACCTTCCACGCGCAATGAGAATTTGATTGACATCTACATCTTCTAAAATTCGCGGGGTTTTTTTCTTAATTTTTAAACAACTTAGATAATTTTTGTTTCTTTCGGAGAGATTATCATTATCACAGAACATTATCACGGAGTGACGAAAAAAGCTGGTGCATAAAAAGGTGTTAATAGTCCTAGTGACCGATTTAACTCTTTTTTTCTTGAGAAGCACATTCTTAATGTTTTCGTACACAGCTTAATAGGCACATTCTATTCGCTCGTTCTTTATTATATTACTGCTATTTGTACATCTTTATAACAATTATTTCTATGGAAGAAAGAACAGCATGTGTCAATGAGTTTCCTGAAAAGAAACACAGAGAGCTTATGCGATGTGTCTATTAAGATGAAAACCCCATTCAGAACAATGTAATTTTAGTCAGTTTTATCTCAATCGATTAATTTTAAATTCTATTTTCAAATTTGAAATAAGTATTGGCTGAACGTTATGTAATGGCTGAATGCTATGTAAACATAAGTATCATACTTATAAGTATCTGGATTATTAGTGTTATGTAAGAATCGCACGAGAAGGATAAATTTTCAAATGACGAAATTTAAGCAATTTTCTATAAGCAGTTACAATTTTTAAAACAGAAAAACGAAGTAACCAAATTAAAATTGAGAGTTTAAGGGCTACTTCAAATTAAAGTTAGAATTTTGATTTACATATTTTTTTTTAAATCTCTTTCTCTCTCTGTGCTGTCATTGCTGGAAACAAAATCTTTATTTTACTTTTTTACATGGCCTTTACAATTTTTTTCTAGGATAGGCTCATTTACTGCTTAGTAAAATAAGTAATATGGAGGGAATAAACTCCTTTCTTAATAACTTAAATGTTTATTTTTTTTTTTCAGTTACATCTCTAACTGATATAATTTTAAATACTACATTTAATTTGTTATTGTTGTTACCAATCTCACTTGCCTGAAAATGGACAGCACCAGGCAAGGTATTCATTGTGGCAGGAAATCATATGCGTTGGCATGAGCCTTGAGCACCATATAGGTTGAAAGCCCGACTTTAGCTCCGTTCCGCCCCCCCCCCAACTCTGCTGGGAAGTACGCCGAAGGTACGGGCCCGAGGATCTCCCACCCTCTTCCCCTAACACCAACCTCTCGAGAGGACGTTCGGCTCGCTGCATATTTGGAGTGTCTCAAAGCAGACACTATGCATTTACAAATATCCATGCTTTCTCTGGGATTCGAACCTGGGCCCTTCAGTACAACAGTCAGAGTTACTAAACACTATCCCGGCTGGACGACTTTTTAATTTGTTATATACCCAATGAATACTTATGAACATTTGCTGCACTACCGCTATTAACAGAAAAGTTCTAATTGCATATGGTATGTATTTAGAGTTTAAAATTATATCAAAGATTAAACATCTCTGGAGTTCTAGAAGACTGCTGTAGATTTCTTTAAGTGGCAGAGAAATATATATACGAGAGTTGGGGCAAAAGTCATTGGCAACTATTTTTTTCTTGTAGATATGTGAACGGATCACAAAACATATATGTGTCATGTGGAAGTTCTGCAGGCATAGTGTGTATGCAGAACAACAGATAGCTCTGTGATAGCTGGCTGTGTGGTAGCGAGGGCTCTAAAATCATTTCAGTTGGCGAGTGTCGTGCGAGATGGAAATAACCAGTGTTGAGCAGCGCGCTTACATCAAAATAGCCGTTCTCCGAAAGGCGAAATGCGATGGAATGTCACAGTGAATTAGTAGAAGCCCTTGGGAATAATGCCCTACCATCTCGTACAGTAGCACGTGGGTAAGAAAGTTTCAGCAAGGACGTGTGTCAACCAGTGATGAGCAACGTTCGAGACGACTGGTGAGTGTGCCGTCATCGAGCACCTCATGAATGAAGACAGACGATGGACGTTACTGGAGTTGGAGAGGGCAAGTGACATCGAGAAACGCACCGTCCACAGGATATTGCGTAATGAGCTACAGCTACGCAAAATCGCTTCGCGGTGGGTACCGCATGCCCTGACGGAAGTTCAAAGGTGGGTGCGCTATGCAATATGCTTCGACCCCTTTGCACGCTGGCAACGGGACGGCGATCAATTCTTTTCACGAATAATCGCTATCGATGAATTTTGGGCCAGGGCATACAAACCAGAACTGAAATGTCAATCCGAGGAGTGGCGACATCCTGGATCACCAAGGCAGCAGAAGGTCCGTCAGAGTCCTTTCCCAGTCAAATTGATGGTGATCGTATGACGTCAGGGGTGTCATTGTTTGCCACTTTGTTCCTCTTGGCAGAACAGTGACTGCACGGTACTACAGGGACTCATGTCAATTTTATGTGTATTGTGTTATCATTCTTTTGCACGGTGTAGGCCATATTACCCTGTATACTACCGTAATAAATTCGTGTGTTACGATATTTCAGTGCTATTCATTGTCCACACATGTAGTTAGGACCTTGTCCTTTCATCTGTATATGTCACATTTTCCAACCGGACTGTTATCTTCAAGAAAAAAATTAGTTGCCATGACTTTTGCCCCAACCTACGTAGGTTCTTGAAGTCATAGCAATTGGTATTAATTATATTGAGATTTTTAACTGCTTACATAATACAGGTTGCTGTTAATGATCCATCTAAAGTGCTGTTTTTCGTGAGCTTTTTTAAAAATAAATTTACATGTCTTGTTAAGTGAAAAAAATGTAGTTAAAATTCTTCTTCTGGTTTTTGGTACCCTTAGCAATATTATATCTGAATTTAATAGGGTTATTGTGAAACTTGGGAAGTGCATACAAGTTTGCAAATCTATTATTCTCAGAATTAAATAATCAATGAAGTTTCTTACGAAAAGCATGAAATTTTTGTTAATATTTGTTTTTCCTTTGCTTTTAGAAACACAATAAGTAGTAGGTAAATTAAGTTCTTTTTCAATTAGGGAATAGTAAAATATTTTGTTGATAATGCGGAAATTTTTACTAGCTTTGTCTATTTTAGTTATGGTGAATTTGGTCTTAAGCTCAGAAGTTTTCTTTTCGCTTTGTCCAAGAACCTTTGAAACTGTGAAAATTAAGTGCTAGTTCGATTCTTTTATAAAGTTTGTAGAGACATTAGGTTATTTCGAAGCAGGAGACATGAAAATTGAGCCATGCTCTTGCCGGAACTGAAACCTCAGACCTCTCGAATACGCGTTGAATGTGCTGGCCATTACACCACGAAGGCATGCTAAGAGGGCGGAAGAAATACCTTATATATTCCCCCTTTTAAAGAGCGACTGGGAATTAGGGGATCTAATCACCAAATCCTGGTGGTAGAGAATAATAATACACCACCCTTTTAGTTCGGGCGCCACTGTAGAAGCATTAATTTTTTTTAAACAAAGAAACATGAAAAAATGAGCAATGCCTTCGCCGAGTTTCGAACCTCGGACCTCTCGATACGCGCCGAGTGTGCTTGTCGTTACACCACGAAAGCATCTAAGCAGGCAGGAGAAATACTTTATAAGTTCAAAGTTTCTTTTTTCCACTGCATAAAGGTATGAGTTGGCAGACTAAGCTTAAAGTTGGTTTTCAAAAATGAAATAATCAGTTTTCTTTCGACGCTTTGAACGCCATAGAAACTTTACTGATTGTCCTAAACTTAGTTATTTTTTTCATAAGTTGTTTTAAATAATAATCATTAACTATTTCCAGATTACCAGTAAATATTTGATCATGGTAAGAATCTACAAAAGAAGGATTGTGTATCTTTATTTTGTTGCACTTTTGGAGCACTTTAATTATTTTTATTGACAATTACTATATATTTTTTTAAAGTCTTCAATATTAACAATCATCTAGATATAATTCAGAATCATGGCTCTGGTGAAAATTCTTCTGTTCCTTGAAAAATACCAAGGTGTTTCCAATAATTTTTTACAATTTTGTATTCTTTATTTTATAGTTTTTAAAATGTTTGCATTGTTTTTGTATTTTGGAATGTATATGTTTTTGTTTTAATTCGTGTATTTGCTTTTAGGAAGTAGCCTACCTTTCGTATTTAATTTTGATATATATACACAGACAGATAGATAAATAGATAGAAAGCTAGGGAGATAGATAGATAGACTGACAAATAGGGAGATAGACGGATTCTTAACAAATCCATCTATCTCCCTAACATACTCATACTAATTATAGATACTACCTAACATACTAATAACTCACTAATAATACTATCTAATATACTCATACTAATTATAGATAGAAAAAAAATTGATATAATTCTTTTAGATGTAATTAGGACTTTAAAAAAAATCAAGCGCTAAATCAGTTGAGATTAGGAAGACAAAATAAAAAGAAAAAAGTGGCCTTTTTCACATAGTTGGATTTCTCAAATAAAATTCGTTTTTATTTGCAATTCAATTTAAAATTTAGCTAAATAATTTTTAAAAATGATGTCCCGATGAGTAGTGATTTATTTCCTTAAATTTTATACATATACATAAGTTGCTAAGGGGAAAACATAAAAGATCTTAAAAATTAATTAATTAGAAAAATTACTGCCGAAATAATGACTAAAATATTTTCGAACTCTTATCGAACTATATCATCTCATCAACATCTCTTATCTCGGTTGTGCTGTCTTTCCCCATACCAGTTATCCAGCTTCCATGTTCTGCCTACGGGCTTTTGAGCGTTGTGCCTCCTAGCACACAACTATCAATTACCCACTACTGTCGACAATACCATTATATCGATTCGTTTTCAGAAGGAAGAAGGATTTGATTTAAGAGGTTATTTGAGATACTGCAAATACTGAGTATTTTTTTATTGTCTACATACTACAGGCTCTTACGCAGTTTTCGGGGGGGGGGAGTCTGCAATATAAAGAGGTCTGTCTACTTATTTCTCAAACTTAGATATATTTTATAATAGAAGTAATCAAGCTCATTATAAAAACCTTTCGGTTATCCTTTTGCCTTACTATTAGGAATATATTTTAGATTGTAAGCTCTTCAGATGCAAAGTATTTCAGATTGTAAACTAAAAAATATATTACCTGCTTGTGAGAGTGGTGATTCATAACTTCTTCAGATTCAACTTGTCTCTGTAAGTAATATTTTCCATCTATCTTCCTGAACTGCGGGTTTAGTTTCAGAGTATTACGAATTGCGTTCTGGAAGCAAATAAGAAGTAAGTAAATACCTTTCAATTTTGCAAATAAGCATTGCACTTATCTCCTTTAGTTTCTCAGGACTAGCATTTATTTTTTGGATTTTCTTGTTAAATTTCTTAAATTTGATTAGTTGACATTGAAGTGCAGCTAGAAGCTTTATAGTAGCGAAATCAGACTCCCCAGCGAAACATATGCCATGGTGCAAGGATCTTTTAGTACGAGGCGTATTCGAAAATTAAGTACCGTTAAAAAAAAAAAAAAAAAAAAAGTAAAACAATTTTTTTCGAATCCAATTTTATTTTACATGAAAATACATGTCTTAAACTATTTTTCAACATAGTTTCCGCCAATGATCAAACACTTGTCATAGCGGGTGACCAGTTTTTGTATACCATCGTCAAAGAAACTTCCCGCCAGTTTCGATAACCACGACTCCACAGAACTTTTCGTGTCATCGTCAGATCCAAAGCGCTTGCCACCAAGCTCGCGCTGCGCTTCATGTGCAGGAACAAGTGATAGTCGGACGGCGCCAAGTCCGGGCTCTATGGCGGGTGATCGAACTGCTCCCAATGAAACTGTCGAATTAACGATTGAGTGACACCATCAGTATGGGGCCGAGCATTGTCATGGAGCAACGCAATTCCTTTACTGAGCATTCCTCTTCGTTTGCTTTGAATGGCACGCCTTAGTTTTGTTAAAGTCTCACAATATCGTGCCGCATTAATGGTTTCACCTCTGGGAAGAAATTCAGTAAGTAAAACGCCTTTCCTATCCCAGAAGACAGTGCACATGATTTTTTGTGATGACATTGTCACTTTGAACTTTTATTTTTTCGGAGAATGAGTGTGTCTCCACTCCATCGATTGTTGATTCGATTCTGGTGTGAAATGACACACCCAAGTTTCATCACCTGTCACAGTTTGGTTTAAAAAGTTTTCTCCCTCATCACTGTACCGCGTGAGAAATGTCAGGGCATTACCAAGTCGCTTTGTTTTGTGAACATCAGTGAGCACTTTTGGAACCCATTGGGAACACAGTTTGCGATAATTCAAGCGGTCAGACACAATTTAGAACAAAACAGTACGTGAAATTTGTGGAAATGCCTCTGAAAGAGTTGTCATTGTGAAGCGTCTGTTCTCATGAATTGCTTCATCAACTTTCCTTACCAAATCATCGGTGACAACAGAAGGCCGACCACTCCGAGCCTCGGCGTGGACATTTGTTCGACCTGCATTAAACAACATTTTTACCCACTTTCTCACCATTCCATCACTTATCGCGTATTCACCGTAAACTTCTGCCTCTTGACGATAAATTTCGGCCGGTTTAACATTCCTCGCTTTCAAAAATTTAATCACGGCACGAATCTCACAGTCAGCGGGAGAACTAATTGTTTTAAACATTTTGAATGCGCACAGCAAACTGAAAACACAACATAGAGCAACCAAAATGGCGGCAATTGAAAGTCAGTGAACAAGAAAGACTAGTGAGCATGTGCGGGACGCCTACCACAGCGCTGTGACGGCGCTAGAATGAAACGATACTTAGTTTCCGAATACGCTACGTATTAGAAAAGGCGAATGTGTGTGCCGTGGACGCAGACAGAGTCTTAAGTGTTGCCATACTTTTTTTTATATTCGATATAGTATTTACATTTGGGATATAAATTAATGACAGTATCCGAATGATTTGCTTCGGATATCTTCATCTGTAAAAATTGTTATTTCTTGGAGTTTCAAGAAGGGTTCGAAATTTTTGCTTAATTATTTTTCTCTTCTGGCATGTTTATTCATGAAGTTTATACGAACTCTTAACACACAAAAATACTAATTCAATATCTGAAAGCATTGGAAAATATCATAATACTTAATCTAATTATTCTTTATTTTGAAGCTGTAGTTGGCACTGGTTTGCAAAGCAATTAAAAACAGAACCATAAGCATTAAAACTCTGTTTTGGATAACAGGTAAGATGCTATTTTTATATATTTAAAACTGTGAATTTTAAGATTCCAGAAATACAACCTGTAAGATGTTATAAGCCTTATTGTTATGATCTAACTTTTTGTTTTGCATTCAGTGAACCGCTTTGAGGTTCGCTTTAAAATATTACGAGATGAATGAGTTTCAAGGCATGAGTTGCCTCAATATTATTTGTTTTAGTTATTATTTTTTGTTACTTTTGTTTATTCCTAGCGTTAGCAAGGACATCAACATCACGGTTAATACGATTTCTAAAGGGGAAGAGAAAAAAATGTGTATGGCAATGACGTATAGCTGCTGGTGATATTCTAAAAATAAAAACTACGTACTTTCTTATTTAGTGAAAAGGAACACTTGATAAACGAACTTCAATAATACACTTTTGTTTTAAAATGTTTTGGTTCTTCCCTCCCGCACATTCTGTACTACTAAAAGAATTATTCTAACCTTGGCAAGCAGCTAAAATTACAAAAATATTACAAGCATAAAAAAAAAAAAAAAAAAAAAAAACTATGTTTAAAAATATACGTGTGTACGTAAGAAAATGAAAATAAATTCATATTTCGATTTTAAACCACAACAGACGCACTTAGTAGATCAATATTTACATTTACAAGTAATATTTTTGAAAATGAGAGTAATCAAAAGCAATCTGAGAGAGATCATTGAGCTGTCAAAAAATTTTTAGCTGTGTGCGCTCGACAAGAATTAACATCAGTGTTAATACGTCAAAAAAATTCATTTTAGATAGATGATTGGGGATTGAGTGTTGTACAGGACACTAACTAACATACTGTCTTAAGTTTAAGCCATTATTTGATTAATTAGAGAATTGGAGGCTTAACTAATATCAAAAGAAAACTATAGTTCTAATTTACTAATTTGCTATTAGGCTGTCTAACGGAAACTGGGATGTAAAACAAGGTATTTTAAAAATCTAGTTTGTACTAAAAAGCATTTCAGTTCTCTAGCATATAATACAGCACCATTATTTGTAGCCTCTTATCATCAGTTATCATGATTCGGTTCTCCTAACGGTGGCTTGGCAAATGCGGTCAAGAGCAGGAGACTGACGTTAAATTACAGAAGGGGAAAGTAAACGGCTGTGTCAGGGATCATAAGGGGAGATATATTTAAAAAAAAAGTGTTTTTAGGTCTCATTCAGTATCAGTATATCAGAAATAAATGATGCACATGGTATCAGAATGGAGACAAATTACATAAGATACGAAAAGTTATATTTATTTGTTTATTAACATTTCATTATTACATTGTTTTCGTTCAGGAATTTCCTTCCATCCCCTCTGCGCAATACATACAGGTACATGTAAGTCGGCTGAAAAGCACTGCTATAAACAAATAATCCAACCTAATTCCAGTTGAACAGCGCTTATTAATACTAATTGCTTACAGAGAGCATCCTAGTTTTTGAAAAGCTTCGTATCATCTAACATAAAATTAATTAATTAATCATTTTAAGAATGATTTTGTGTTGAATATATGGCAAAACATATGAGGGTTAGCTAGGCATGATTTCATGGAGAATTTTCTAAGGAAAATGGGCTCATATTTACATACCTTAAGGAAATCCACGAAAATGCTTACACAAAGTGGTACGTTGCAGTAGGGTTCCTTCAATCCATCTGTTAAATTTGCATGGCAATTGTCAAGTGCTCCCATCTGTTAAATTTGCATCTAATTGTCAAGTGCTCAATTTTTTTTGGCTAGTTTATACATTCAAAGGAATATAAGTTACTCACTGAACTTCGCACGTTTAGTCTGAATAACCTTTAACCCCGATGAACATATATTTCTGTGACAAGGCGAGCTTTCTGACTGTACAATCTGTTTTACATTTAGCGAGCTTGTGCCGAATAAGTTTTATTCGCTATTTTATGTAATTTCTGCAATATTTTGTAATTCTTTTATTTTTTCATTTAAATTTTATTTTTTTAAAGATAACTTCTTTTTATTCACAAATAGTCATATTTTCTATTTTTCTAATAAGTGAAACATTTAATTAGATTCTGATATTTTGTTTTCATAAGATAAAGTACGAAACCTTTGTTAAAATTTTCATTGCTCACTGTAGTTCAGTGACCGTATTTTAATGTGCTATTTTATTCGCAAGTCCATTCATCCGATTTGAAACTTGGAAATGAATTAACAAATCGATCTTTCCATTCAATTGGTCCTATCGACTTGAATACAGTGAGCCTGAGTAAACGGGAAGTACCTTTCGTAAATATAAAAACCATTATAAGCGCATTTCTAAATAATAATTTTAAAATATAATTTTGACAGCTGTTTGACTCTGCTTTCAAAAGATTTCTTAATTATAAATATAAATATATATACTGAAAATTACGAAGAGAATAACACATACGTATCTGTTATTACGAGAATAAGTATTTCTAATGTATGCAATAGGGCAATTTATTTACTGTATCGATTTATTACTTATTGTAATGGATTGGAATATTTGAATGTGAATTAGCTGAATATTTAAGAAAAATATTATGACTGCGAGAATAGGAAAAAAAATTTTTTTGAATATTTACTTTCTTATAGAATGCAGATGAATTCATTTTTACTCAACGAAAATCAAAATTTAGTAGCTAATTAATCCGTCTTGTATCGAGCACTTTAGTTCAGTGATCTGTATTAATATGCGCTTTTTTAAAAAAAATTTAAATGCTTCAAGAATAATTAGAAAAGGGCATAATTCACTTCTTACCCTTAAATTCTTCAATAAAAAAACTGCATTTTCAGCTATAACCAAGTGAAATAATTTTCTAAATATAATTCAAAGCATGAAAAATTAGGTACATAAACAGCTTGGAAATGGAACTAGCGTTGAGATTCTCTTTAAGAAATGTGGTGAAGCTTAACAAAAAGTCTACGAACTGAAGTAATTCCGTAGAATATTTTCTAACTCTTTATGATTAAATTGCACTCAATTATACTTTATAAACGACATGTAAATACTATTTAATGTATATGTGTGGATGTGTGTGTGTGTGGCTCACTAGCGGCTGAGCTGTAAAGTCGTTGAACTGTGGCAGGTCGATCCGGGGTTCGAATCCGGATCGACGGGGATGGCTGTATTGGCGTTTTCGAGGTTTTCCCCACGTGTAACGTGCATAAGAGTCAGGTTTGCTTAGAAAGTTCTCCACGAGGCACTCTTACCCTTAGGCAAATAACCGTCGAATGCTTTGCTATAATCAAACAAACCAGACAAAACAATAGATATATAAATAAGTAGCTTAAAAAACTGCTATATTTTATGTATACTTATCAAGTAGTATTTCAATATGTATAATGATTAAAAGAAAGGAAAAGTCGGATCCTAAATGATTGTATATAATGTAATCCCTATGAAGGCCCTAACAATTCTTTCTCACTTAAAGTCGTAACCCAAAAAGAGAACAAATTAAACTTCAGATACGTATACAATACTGAATCTAATACAAAAAATACAAAATATAAAAATAAATTATATATGTACGAAACCTAAATAACTATTTATATTGATATTACGTAAATATACGTATGGTAATGAACATTGTATAATAAAGATATTTTATACCTTGTTCTGTATTTGGTTCCATTTATATATACCTATACATAGATATATATAATTTAAGGATTCCATTTAAGGATTATAGTAGTAGTTAATACTACTATATATAAAAACAAAAGTGCATCAATAATGCATTTTTCAGTATTATTTAACTTCATTCTTAAGAATTTTCTGCAGTCTAGTTTGCGTTATTTTATTCATAAGTCTCAAATAAAAACAATTATTCTTTATATGTCATTAGAAAATTAACCAAAAAGCAGCGACCACAATGTAATTGAGAAACAGTCCTTAGCCGTGAAAAGGTTGAAAGCCATTCGGTTAGGACTATTATCTCACATACTCAGCTACTTCGCATACATGGAACATAGCATTCGAAATGAAAAACTCAATATTTACTACAAATTCATTGGTGTAACAAATATCTGTCTTTCTACACCTATGGCTTTAAAAAAAGATGTTATTTATCTTACAGTTTATCGTTAAGTAATACATTTTCATTGTACAAAATTACATTCATTCGAAGAATTCAATTTGTATTTTCCTCTGTATAAAACTGAATGTAGAGAAGTTAGATGTTTAAACGACCCCGACATTTTTTAAAGAGCAGGAGCAAGATTATCCCCTGCTTTTCAGCCCCCCCGTGAAAAAAGGGGTTCTAAATTTACGACCTGACCGCATATGAGGGTATTTCCTCCTAACCGGAGGTGTTGGGTGAGATTTGTACGAAAGATCGCATTCCCCTGTCTAGAAAGCGATTAAACTATTCCTTCGTTACATTATAGGAGACCATTTTTTCATCTATTCATCAGCGCAAGTTTCTCCGAGTTATTGTCATCGAGTTTGAAATCTCATTTGAATCATCTGATCTGATGAAATCATATAATTTGAAACCATAGGATATATAGAAGCAGCCTCAACGTGTTCACGAGTCAAGTCCACGTTTAAAATTGATTTGTCAGCAGATCGATATGTTTGTTATACGGTTACACATAGCACAAACCTTGAGATGTTTATAACCACACGTGTGAAAATTTCTGGAATATTCTGGATAATCGCAGTTTGTGGAGCATTCCCCGAAATTCTCTTAATATTTAGAGGGTATTGGTTCATCACAGAAATCTTGGTTGTCACTTTCGAGGCAGTAAGCCGATGCAAAATTAAAAAATTTTCACTATAGTGTCATGGGTTGAGTAAAAACTCAAATTTAAACTATAGTTATAATACTTTATTGGTGTCTTCAATATGTAAAAGGAAACTAAGTAAAAAGTAAGTTCGATGATCTGCTGCGAATTGATGGAATAAATTAAATTAGCTTAAAATAGTAATTGGAAACCTCTTTGAATTTCTACCTTAATGCAAAAGCTACATGTTCTTAGAATTCTCATTCTCCTGAGCCATAGTTTCATCAGGAGATACCATAAAGGCAGCAATTGAAGGCAGATTCCTTCTCTTTCCACCTTTAATGGCGCCCAACAGCAGCCGAGCAGTAAAAGTCGCTGAATACTGTTAGTTCCTCCTGGGTTCGATGCCATGTGAACTGGCTGGCTGCACGGAAGTTTCCGTGGTTTTTCACTATGTGAAATGTGGATACGAGCCAGTTTCCTTTAGAAAGTCCTTCACGAACGCATCACTCCTTTTTCATGGCAGCGGTGTTACAAAAGAGTTGTCGCCAACGCCTCGGTGGGTATAACTGCTAATCCTTCTACCTAACTCTTTTCGTTTTCTGTTTAATACTTTACTAGATTCCATCATTTAGAAACGGTTGAGATGTAGCAAGAGAAATAAAAGGAAAGCAATGAAACAAACACAATTGGTTATGTCAAATCTTGTGTGAATGTGTAAATGCTTTCACTTGCTAATGTAGAAAAACAGAGGAAGGTAGCCTAGTTTTTTTATTTGAACGCATCCATCATTTTTTACACAATATTAGTTTAATTTATGCTGTAACTTTTAACACCTTTTTAGATCTTGTTCGGACATGTTTCTAATCTAATTAACTTATTTAATTAGATTTTATAGCTTAATTAATGCTGCTTTTGAGAAAATCGTAATTTAACAAACCTTTCCCGTTGTTTCTGAATAATATGTTGAGGGTTATATATAATTTTAGGGTATGTATATGTTTTTTGGTTGTTGTATTTGCATTTAACTGATCTGAAGTATTATTATGCCCTCTCCCAAATTTCCCTGCGCACGTGCAATATCTTCATCTTTGATTAGTGATTACTAACTAAATATGTACGATACCTATATGAAGGAGAAATTCCCCAGTGAGAACTATAAAATTAAGAGAACGGGAATGTAGACTGGCGTAAATTTTAAACAAAACATACTTTCTGATTATCCTCAACCCCCAGAAAAATAACGAACTCATTGGCAATTTTACGAATTGCCAAAACACGTTTGAGGTTTCAAAATTTAATGCCTGATAGGTTATAATAAATAGAAGCATTTTATAAGAAGCAAGAAGTTGTTTAAGAAAATACAAAAATCTATATCACTGATAGTTATACAATTACAACCAATGGCTACTGTTCAGTGAATTGATAGTTAAATATAAAGGGTATAAATTTACGTATACTCAAACCCGCATATGCTACACGCCTGCGTATACGTTGGCTATTGTGGTGTATATATCAAAAATACCCCGAAACACGGCAATTCTACGAAATGCTGAGACCGGTGTTGCAGATAATTAGAAAGTACCAATAAAACCTAATCGATTTCGAGGGCAATACGAAATTTTTTGTCTTCTTCAGGAGGAAACACGATTGTTGCCAAACAGCAAAATGATGCAAGAAGACAAACCGCAAAACAGTGTAACGTCAGAACCCCCTGTTGGGTGCAAGAAAAGACAGGTTCTCTTTTAAAACTTAATAAGAAATTCTTGAATAAATATTAAAATAATTGAATCATTTCAACCATAATTCATACAAAAGCCGCTGACGAGGTGACGACGCTAAAATGCGTCTGCTTTCACTCGTTTACAGCATCAAAAGCTTTTTTACACAAAGCTCTCTCCTCGTTTTATTAAAAACCTGGAAAGAGAATAATTAGTCCCTTATGTCCACTGGGGAGGGGGGGAGGTTCCGCTGCACCTTTCTTCTAAAGGTCTGCTGTCCATTCTGTCGCTGAGAACTAGATATCTCTCATTAAGCACCTGGAAGTCCGAGGGGTTCATATGTCTGAACGTCACAACAGCAAGAAAATTATTTGGCTCCTGAAGAAAGAAGATCCATGTTAGTCGTCTTCGAAATCGAGAGAGTTTATTTAAAATTTACCCTAGTCTTAGGTCGGGGGTAGAATTTTAAGGATACCCAATGACACTTAGTGAAAATAAAAAACACGTTTTCTTACCTTCCATTTAGTATCTGTTGGTTTTAATGCAGGAATACGTGTTCTGTAAAATAAGATATAATATTTATGCTAATAGCATGCATTTTATTCACATAGTAAAGGGAATAATTAGGAATACAGCATATAAACTATAATAAAACCATTACAATAAAAAGTGGCTACAGTACAAAAATATTTCTAAACAAAGAATCCGCATTATATTGATTATTGATTAATCTCCATAAGTATAAAATGAATTAACTTTCCTCTTTGGGTTTAAACGAGTAACATTGTGTGATTACAGTTCTTAAACTGAGGGCGCTAGGTTGCCTTTAAGAATGTAACATCACTAGTATAAAAATAAGAATAATAAATGCTATTTATATTTGTATTTTGAAACACTTTCTACTTCAATATCAAGAATCTATTTATTCTGTCTTATCTTTCAGTGCGATACAGAGAACAACACTCGAGGGTTCTCGGTATGGATTAGGTTGACTCTGTCGCATTAACCTTTAATGTTATCCTTCTGATGGCATGCTACTGTTTCCAAAGGTCATTGCTAATAATCTTCAAAAAAAGATAAAATAAATCCATGTTAGCGGAAAGTAATATTGAAAAATCAGAAACTTCGAGATTAAAAAAGCCGAAAAATAGACTTTAAATTCAATAAAATTCAATTTGAGTAAAAAAATAGTTAATTTAGTTCAATACATAAAGTATACCAACGGTTGGAGGACTAAACACTGACAATTCAACTCGAATCTGAGAAATGGGATCGAACTCGGCGAACTGGCCCTCCACGAAGGTATTATTTTCCTTAGGCAGAGAGCCCTCGTAGGCTTTGCCTAATTTAAATAAACCTATTAACTCTTAAGCCGTATGCATATCTACTTACTATATCTTAAACTGGTTTTTTGGGTGGTGGTGAACTTTGTTGGTGTGTAACATTCAAGAATATGATATGCTGACAAAATTTGTATTTTTACACAAGATGTTGATTTAGCAGTAATACTCGTGTCCCTGAAAAGCTTATGTCAATGACAGCCTAAACGCAAAATCGTCAGTAAAGCGAGATATTGCTAAACTGATATTTTACATTTTGAAAATGATATAAAGACTTTTTAAGAGTGGTAGGCTATAGCATCATATTCAACAGTTTTTAAATTTCGGTGAAACGTTATTTTTCGCAGAAAGGGAAACACCTGTACATAGCAAAATGAATTTAGTTACCGGTGATTGGTACATCAAGACTGGTTTGAATCAATGATATATCTATGTAACTGAAGTGGACTAATATGTACTCTGGTTGTTCATATTTTAGGCATTTAGGCATTTTGTGATTTCATGTAAAAAGATGGATAAAAGATCTTGCGACTCAACCGATGAAATTTCATAGAAAAATTTCTTTAAATTACGTACATATATCTGCAATATACTGTTCTATTATACAAAATGGAAAAGAGATACAAGAATGCTCACCTTATCCAGTTATAGATAACTTTCATTCTGACTGCACCGACTTCATTCAGACAGCTTTCTATCAATTCAATGCAAGGTAATAATAAACTTCTTTTTGAGATTTCTGTGCCATCTTTTATGAAAAAAAGTAATAAAGTTTAGTAATATTTAGTAATGTTATTATTGTCATTACGTGTACATAAAGAAAGATCAATAAAATATGATCTTATGCCATTCCTCAATTATTCTTTCTATAAATATTAAATGCCTGAAGGGATAATACTGAAAATACCTGATTTTAAAATCAAATTATATAACGGCGGATCATTTAATTTAATTTATTTTCATTTTTAGTTTATTAGTTTTTTTTTTCTTTTTATTCATGTTCACTTAAGAGTATTAATAACGAAACTGTAACAATGATAAAATCATAATTACTTTTCTTTAAAAAAATTACACTCCTACACCACGGAGATTATTAAAGCAACAAAATTTTATGCTGTAGTAATAGGAAAACGCGGAAACGAAACCCGTTGGGTACTACTTTGTTATTAAATAAGTAATTTCCGTTTCTTCAGAATTGCGTTGAAACGATCAGCACAACTTTGACAGGATCTTTGCCACCGCTTAAGGGTAGATGGTAGCCAACTTTCAGAGTCGACGGGATAGTATGTATGTAAGAGCTATTTTCTTAAATTTCTTAAATGTTTAGCAATGTAAAAATTCTTCATTCAGTTTAACAAAATTTCACAATCATATGAAATAATAATAGAATATTAAACAAGTTAACAATATTTCTTTCCTGAATTTAACAACTGAATAGAAAGAAGGAAGAGAAATACAGGTTTCAATCTTATCAGTAATTCATAATACTTTTCAGATTAGATAAAGAAGCTGAAACTTAGGTGTGTTTCCCTTTTTTTTTTTTTTTTATCGTTCCTTCAAAAGTTTTCAAGTCATCGCAGCGACGACGGTGACCACAAGAAAATGCGCTACCCTACGATATTTCTCTAAAAGTTTCGATTCACTATTTCTTTTAGAATACGAGTAATATCACCACTTTACAAATTACGAGAGAATCAGGACTTTTCAGTTGATAAGGGGTTTGAAGATTCATTACATAATGACTTTTCACTTTATCTAGAATTGTTTAACCAAACCTTGATATTTTTTCTTTTATTAAGAAGGATTTATTCGATCCATGTTTAATAAATTTGGCAGAATTGATTGGTGGTAAAAAATACTTTAGTCGAAATTCCAGAAATTAATAGCTTTGATAAAGTTTTTTTATGGTCGTTACACAGCTAAAGAACCCTGGATTTGGCTTTCACTAAATTCTTCAGATTTTAAAATAAAGTATATCTTCTACTGACCGTCTTTCACCAAGATAAAGCGTTATCGAGCATCCCCAATCCCAATATTAGCTTACAATCTCCATTAGCCTTTCATGAAAGTCTTTCTAACGATCCCGACATTCAATTATAAATTTGCAAGCAATTTCTTTATTGGGGATAATTATAAAATGTTCCATGCGGCAAAAAAACTTTGAAAAATATTTAAGTTCCTTTTTCTTTTTTTCAACAGTCCTTGTTTTACCACAGTGTATCATTTTATAGCAATCATTTTCACAACTCGCCAAGTTGTCTATCAGATTCTCACAGTAATTAAATTTAAAGCACTCTACCCAAAGTTCACTACCAAATTATAGGAGGCAGCTTACCTATTAGGGTTACGAATTAATCTCAGTCATTAAAAATGTTTGCATTCTCATCTTAATTTCTTTAATTTAGTTCATCATGTATTTATAGAATAATCTAGCCTAAAAGATTAAAAAAAAAAAAAAAAAAAGTTAGCAAAGCAAAATAAAAATATTTTACCAAGGTAGTTCCCCCCTCGCCTTCTATACGTTTATATTGCTATTTTCTCTATTTCATTTTTGGCTATTGCTGTAAAATCAAGCATAAGCTGCTTTGGACTTCGATCAGGTTAGTTTTTGGAAATTCAAAAATTTTCTTACCTTTGATTTTATTCCTTAGAACTTTGCATGCAAATGGATCCTTAGAGCAGACACGAGGAGCAATACTTTTCGAATTATTAGGGTATTTAACAAAAGGATTGTTTCGCTCGATGTCATAAAGGAAAACAGACTTCAAATCAAAATTAATCAGCCATCTAAAGTCATTTTTCATTTCATCATCCAATTCAGTGACCACTGACTGTCTTCGATCGTCCGAACTGAGTTCAGCCTTGAGTTTCAAAGCGAAAATATTGGGCGTTTTCTTTTCTAGATTTCTTGAGACACCCCGCTCGGTTTCCTTATATTTTGGGAGATGTTCACGAAGGTTTATTACCGTAGGTTTACATCTTTTGGTCGTCATTTCCAGTCTTCTAAGCTTTCGGGAGTCTACGAAATTATTTAAAATGTTTATATTAAATACGTAATTGTAAAATATTAATTAGGCTTGATGTTATGTATCAACAGAAAGATGTAGTTTTAGAGTTTCATAGAAACGTGAAGGTAGGCTTTTCACAGATGTAACAATTATACTAGACCCTCGGTATTAGAGTCCTCATCGCTGAACAGTAGGTCTTTAGACTACCCGCATGATTATTATTATTATTTCCTTTATTTTTTCTCACCTGTCAGCAGAATACGGGTAATCAGATATAAGGGTCATAAGAAAAGTATTTACTCTTAAAAATTTCAGCACGTTTCAGAGAAAACACTGAAGAATTCGATTTATTAATTTAAAATGTCTGATCTTTCGCTTTACAAAATTGATTTTAAACAAAGAAGCATTCTCTCCCCTCCGCTTATTATTTATTCTTGAGTGAAAGCAAGCATAAATAATGAATTCGTACTAATCGTCTTCCTGCTAATTTATATGAAATATACCATTTACTCAAATTACGGTATAAGATCTGCGCATGGAATGTATTTTGTTGAGCCACTCCACTTCTTGCTTTTTCGAAAGTATAAAGCTATCTTAAAATGTAGTTTAATCTGTCAATTTTTTAAAATATATATTTGAAAGCTTTCAGACTTTATATTACGCCTAAAGGGGCGTTTATTTTTGCATTTACACACACATACACATTTCGAGAGCATTTGATGTCCTTTTGGGCTAAAAATATTAAAGAACAACATATCTTTATAATTTCCGATAAACAGTCTATCTATCTATCTATCTATATATTCTGTACAGTGTTGCCATTGCTCGCATTGAAATCGTTGAGTTCGTTAACCAAAATTTCGTTAAAGTTTTACAAAATATGAAATAGATAGTAAAACAAATTCAAAATTCTAAATTCGGGCTTCCAGGTGCCCATATTTGGGTGGAGGATTACGTTATTCAAAATTTTATAGCTTACCGTCATTTTTCATAATGCGAGAGACATGCATACGTTCATGCAGATTATTCACTATCTAATTTCCTTCAATATAATATAGGGCGATAATATTTGGTGGCAACAATTTGAAAAGTGATACAACGCCTTTTTTGATTCAACGCAAAATGCCGTTTCAAGACTAATAGCCCTTCTGGGTTAACGCCCATTTGGGGCTAAAAAAAAAAATAAAATTAAAGGAAAGGCAATATTAGAAAGAATGCGATGAGGAAAAAACCAACTAAATCGTAATGATTTTTATGTATTTTTAGCTTTTCTTCAATGATCGTAACATTATGTTGGGAAAAACTTTTTCTGCTGCGCAATTAGAAAACAAGGCTTTTGTTAAAAAAAAAAAAAAAAAAAAAAAAAAAAAAAAAAAAAACATCGAGATAGTCGTATAGGTTTGAAAATGAGAAGACGAGTTAGGAAACACGAGACCTTATATAAAGTTTACGTAGAAATGATAACTTCGCTGGAGCTCTGCATCACACAATACACTCTGTTCCAAAAGTTTATAGACTAAAGTAAAAAATTACATGTTTAAGAAAAATAGAAATGTCTAAAATTACCCAATTAAAATATGTTTACTTAAAGCACATGTGCCTTGCATTCGAGCAAATATTTAACAAAATTATTACCTTGTCTTTTAGAAAAAAATAAAAGCAAACACAAAAAACGTGTGTCCCAAATGTTTATAAATAAATGTAATTTTATGCAAATTGGTTAGCAACAATCATGATAGGGGAACTTGAACCTTTTATGTGATAATGCCTTGATTCAAGCTTCCAATTTAAAAAAAAGAATAAAAGATAATTTGAACTGCGTTTAAGTATGCTACGCATTTTTCTGATACGCATTTTTCTAAAGCTACGCATTTTTCTGATGCTGAAGTTAGAACTTTAAATAGCACGATAATTAAGTTAAAGAAATTTCGAAACTTCTGAATCGATCTGAAAGCATGATTTATTGTGTAATATCTCGTAAGAAGCCACATCAACCAAAACCACGTTCCCCCCGAATGACGGATAGTGGCAGAGACAGGCGGATACAAAGAATGACTTCGACACAGAAAAAGTTCGTTCGCCGAATCACAAGGGCTTGTGGACTGCAAATATCCAGAAAAAAAAAAAAAAAAAAAAAAATTGTTCTTAAGGGAATCAAGGAATCTGGCTACATTAATTTTCTTAAAAATGAACTCGATCATTGCAAAGCTTCACAAACAAATGAGATTGCAATGGGCCCGTAACACATGGTATATGGTGACCAATGTATTTCTGTATAATTTTCAGTGATGAAGGGGGAAAAAAAGGAATCTATATGATTCTGACTGCACAAAAATGTCATATTACTGGCATGACTTACGAAAAGAGCCTCGGAGCTATTTCAGTAGGAACACTGGAGGTGGATCTGTTATGATGTAGGCAGCTTTCGGTTTCAACGGGCAAATGGGTTTCACCTTTCTAGATGGTCGGCAAGATTCGTTAAAATACATAGAAGAGACCATCTTATGCCATTTGGAGAAAACATTGGAGGACAGAAATTGAGTGTACCAGCATGACGATGTTCCCGTTCAATACCTCTAATACTACAAAAAATTACTTAGACATAGAAAATGTCTCTGTTCTTGAGTGGCCACGAATGAGCTTTGATCTAAACTCAGTCTAAATGTGTGAGGTATTATGTTTCAGAGATTTTACGAGAATGGCTGTTTTCTTTCGTGAATGAATGCCTTAGAAGCAGCCTTTGAGAGTGCATGGTACAATGTGGAATCAGAATTGTTACAAAACTTAGTTCTCTGGATGGAAAAACGTGTATTCGATATCATACGGAATAATGGGGCGACTTTGAAGTATTAAGTTATTTAAAATTGATCATAAGTTGTTAAAATGTAAATGTTCTATAAACTTTCGGGACCGCCCAACCGGCATAGTGGTTAGCGTCGCTGACTACCGTGCCGACGGGCCCGGGGTCGAACGCCCGGAGAAGGCATGGATGTTTGTAAATGTATAATGTCTGTGCGGCATGGCGGCACTCCAAATATGCGGCAAGCCGAAAGTCCCCTCTTGTGGCTCAATGCAAGGGGAGAGGGAAGGGAGACCCCCGGACCCGTCCCCAGGGGCTTTTCATCAAAATTGAGAGCGGAACTGAGCCATATTGCACTGTCACCCGTTAGGTGCTCAAGGCTATTGCCAACAACAGGCGCAATCCTGCGCTCTTTGCCACGAGGAATTTCGTGGTCTTGAGCTGACTACATCAGACAAGTGAGCATAAAAGCAACAACAGCAAACTTTTGGGACGCTTATTCTTGCGTGTTTTTATTTTTCCTAAAATACAATTTGCTATTTTAGTTGAATATTTACTGCAATGCAAGTCACATGTGATGCTAAATAAACAGATTTTTATTTGATGTGTGTGTTCTTTTCTAATTTTCTAAAACACTTAATATAATCGACTCTATAAACTTGTGGTGTTGCGTGGCCCCAACTTGCCCGCAACAATAGTAGTAACTGCTTTGAACTGGAAAGTACACAAACTCTTAAGAACGGTTTAACTCCCTTTTTATTCCACTTTATAAGTTACAGATGCGTTCACATGACGCTCACAGACTACGCCGACGCGGCGGTTAAATAAAAATAAGAAAGTACAACTAAAAATGAATAATAACAAGTCACTACCTACGAGGCTCTCTAAACGTAACTAACTTAACCGCGTTCTAAGATACACCTGAGATTTCAGCAAACTTTCTGAATAAAAAGTTGAAAGATTCAACTAACTGCCGAAGCAAGCACACAGGCCGAAATGCGCGGTTCTTAAATTTCTACCTAGCAACCTTCACGCTCGTGAATCAATAAAGCACGCCTACAAACTCGTTTCCTTTCTATTTAACTCAAAATTACTTCTGCTAAAAATTTGAATCCTTTGCGCGTTCTACTAAAATTTACATACTCTGGCATTGGCAATTCCAGGGCAAAGTAAAGGCTTGACAGGAAAGATAGCTTAAAATAAATGTTAGTTAAAATAAATATAAACCCTACATTTGCCGCTGCCAGAATTTGGTAAAACTTGGAAGCAGGTCCTAGAAACGACCTGTTGAAAACTTTCCACAATTCTGAACTAAAATTTCAAGAGCCTCGTTTACATAAAAAAAATCTGTTTTCTCACAAAATTAGAATAAATTTCTGTCGATACTCATTTTAACCATCTCTTCTTACAGCAACTTTTCCTGGACTTCAGCAATCAATCTGTTCCCTTCCTTCCAGCATCTGGAAGGAATAAGTATCAGTATCTTTCTAAATACATTATAATTTACACTTTCTTGACATTGAATAAGTTTTTGTTTTCGATCCTTTATTTTCCTTAGTTACTGCTTAATTCACATTCATTCAAGTATTCAAACATGAATTTAACTTTACCCTGGCTCTCCACCATGTGTGGTGTCAAACAGCAATATTCGTGTTTTAGTATTGCAACATTTCCCCTAACCACAATGATTTGTTAGAATTCAGCGACCAAATAGACACACCTTAATCGACATTCTAAAACTCGATGAGCTATATTTAACATTCTTAAAATTCAAGTGTAGGTGGAGAACCCTACAAAACACATTCATTCTAAATTCCCCCTCATTCATCTTTAGACATGCAGGCTTTCGCTCTAAAGCATGATTTTATCTACAGTTTAATACTTAAATTTGAATTCATTTCGAGTATTTACTTTTAGCATCTTAAGTTTTATGCTTCTAGACTAAATTCTAGAACATAACTTTCAAGTATTTACGTATATTTACAAAATTCTAATACATATGATTTTTACAATTTACCATAAAATGAATAAGAGAAAAATAAATTTTTACTTTACGCTTTCTTCGCCAAGCTGGCGGCACTGAAACTAAATTTCTTATTAATACAAGAATACGAAGTTATTTTTATCTTCGGCCAAATTTTGGCTTTAACATAACAGAATTAGTCTTTCGACCAACAGGAAACTGCTTGTTCTTAGATTTTATACTTAAAG